TTTAAGGACTGAAATTGCTGAAATTGCGTTGAATTTTTAAATCTTGGAACCAAATAGCTAAATGTGACCTCAGGAGTAAAAAGATCACTCGATCAAACCAACAGAACCCAGTTTTTTTTTTTAACCATTCTATCAGCACAGATAGTAGTACCTTATCCATGTTTGGTACAAGGTCTTGCAATCTTCTCATTCTTTCACTGATTTTTGTCCTTCTCACCTGTACCATATATCATACACAAACACAATAACATAATAGCTAGCTTAAAAATTATTGAACTTTTGTAATGAAAATCTACTTCATAAATGCTTGTTGTGTCCTATTCCTATTATCCAATATAGTATATTAAGCATTCAAATGTCTATATATATACATTAAAATTCCATAAATAGTGAAAAAAAAAAAATCAAGAATTAAAATTTACCCTCTCGGCTATGCTTCGTGGATGAGTGGCACAACCGCGCTTGGCGCGAACTTTACAAGGAACCGTGTCTTGAAGATGCAATAAGTTCTCCGTAACACCAAATTCAGCTGCAGAACTCTTGGGTAAACTTAACTTGTGTGACAATATATGTTGCCTATTTTTAAGCTCCACAGTCTGATTATTTGTTTTAGCAAACGATGGTGCTCGATCATCGTCATCATCAATCTCCCTCTTGATCCCAACCGGGAAATATTCAGCGTAATACGAATGATCATTGTTCCAAGATCCATAGCAAGAAAACGAATTTTCACTGGTTTCGATTTTTGGCTCGTCCGGGACTTCCGATATTCGGGACAACATTCCCGAGGAAGAGAAGTTTGCGTGATTCCTTAATCTCGACCCGAAATAATCTGCAAGCCGACGATTTTCGCAATTTTAGTAATGCATTGCATGACAATATTTTCATCACAAAACCCTCATTGACAATCAAGATAAAGATTTGGAAAAATTAGCACCAATAGTCACATTTAGAACCCACCATTTTAGTTAAACCTTGAACTTAAAGATTAAACACACTTGTGACTTGTAGCATCATAATTCAATCTTTCGGAAAAACTAGGGCACATGACAACAAAACAGAGCATACAAATCATAGTCTCTGATTCACAACAGAGGGCTTTTTCGGACCTCGAACGTGCAATCGGATTAGGCCAATACTTATGACTTCACTGCGCTTCGCTTCGTTCGTTCGGTCCAAAAAAAACAATGACTGAATGCATTTGAATCCACATAAGACACACAATCAAGATTCACATACAAAGAGCAAAATTAAAGAATCAAAATTCAAGTACCATCTTGAGGATTGAGTTGAGAAAACAAGCCAGCAGGTGAGCTATTTTGTCTCACAAGACTTGAACCAACATGAGTTGTAAGAACAACACCATCTTCTTGCCTTGGATATTGAGGTGGGAGTTGTGATGAATTCATGGCCAAAAAGGGTGGTTTATTACAACTATTGTCACCTTTTTTCATTACATTCACAGTATTTGTGTCATCAGAGGAAAGCCCATATGGTAATGCAGACCTAAACCTCAAAAAAAATTAATAAAATTAATAAAAAAAAATTAATAAAAAAAAATAAAAAAAAAAGTGGAAAATTTTACCTAAAAATTGAGTCTTGTTCAGAAGGGTGAAAAAAAAAAGAACCAAAAAAAAAATGGAGAAAGGGCTTGTCTTTGAAGGAACAGAGATTAATCTTGAAAAATATTCTTGCTCAAAGGGGCTTGATTTTGATTGTATTTAAAGATTTGCCTCATTTTTTCTTATTTATTTATTTATTTATTTATCATGTTCCTTTTACAAAACCTTTATGGTTAAGTATCTAGAAAAAGTGGAGAAGATCATGAGCACTGATGAGGGAATTAGGAAGATGCAAATTTGATAAAGGAGAAAAAAAATTGGTGCAGCCTTTTTAACCACAAACTTTCTTCTTTAATAAATGGGGCTTTGAGTTATGGGTATTAAGATAATGTGCCCAATTTGCTATTTTAGGCATAGTTTCATAGGAAATATTAAAAAATAAAATAAATAGGAGGCAGAGGACTGCTTTGGAAGTTGGTGCAGTGTTGTTGGATTAGATATGTCATAATTTCTTGAAATAATAAATAAAGTTATCTGCAGATTTTGCAGTAAATTTGGATGAAATTTATGTTATTAGATTGATTGTTGATAGACTCTAAAACCAGTTTAGTCGACCGAGCTCTGCTTGTTAACTAAACGATCTCGAGCTCGACTCGAAACTTTAATGAATTGAGTTCGAGTTTTAAAGAACCAGTCTAGGTCGATTTTATTGCTCGGCTTGTAGCTTTAATGAATTGAGTCCGAGCCTTAACGAGCCAGTCTAGCTCGACTTATTAATTTAACAAGTTCGTAGCTCGTAATCTTAATGGTCTATTTTTGAACTCATTTTACAGCTCTAATTAGTGAGAAGCTTGATGGAAAATTATGATACAATATATGAATTCTTTTTAATTTTTATTTTTTTTCCCTCAAAGAACCCCTTTGATCAACTCCATGAGAATTATATTGGGAAACATATTTTTTTTGTATAGCATATAACTATTCAATTAATTCCAAAAGAATAATATAAAAAAATAAAATAAAGGAGCAATTATACATACAGATCTTGAAGAAGAATAAATATAGACCGGATGACTGAAGAATATATGAGATTCAAGATTGATAAGCATAAAATGGGGAAAGTGATATTGGAAAACTTTGGAGGAATATATTACTATTCTTGAGATATTATGATGTAATAAAGTGTTCTAAAAGTCGCTAGGTTTTCGAGCAACGTCTAGCGTTGGAGCGCTTAGACGGGTGTTAGGTGGCACCTAATTAGAGCTTAAAAATGAGGTTCGAAATATTGAAGTGTGCTTTTTTGAATCATGCAACTCGAATTAGATGCCCACGAATAATTATGTGATATATGTTTGATGATCATTTGACGAACAAAATCTCATTCCCTTCGAAAATAATAACATATTGCCACTATTATGTATTGATAATTAAATATATATATATATATATCTATATCTATATAAAAAGGTTGTTGGAAAAATACATTAATAGAAAGTTTGACCAAATAAATATAATGTTTGACTTACTATTAATGAAAAGTTTGAAAAAACACATGTAAATCTTTAGTAACAAAATCTGAATCCTATTTTTTTGGTAACAAAATTTAAGATTCTCATGGCAAAATTAGAATCCTATTTTTTTTGTATCATATATTATTTTTTCACCAAAATTCAAATCATATCTTTTTTTGGTAATAAAATTAGAGATTCTTATGCAAAAAAATGTGTCAACTATTTATGAAATTAACTCTAAATACAAATTAATTTAAAAATCATGCAAATTGGATACAAATTTAGGAAACAAATAGTTGCATTATTTTTAACTAATTCTTCCAATCTTATTGGTTATCTTTTTCTTTCAAAAAAAAATGTGTAAATTGGATAAATCCACGTGCTTATTGTCTTTTCCTTTACCCAACGAACTGACCAAACTTCGTCGAACAAGCGCAGAAAATGTTCATTTTAAAATAAAATTGATATTTGGACGTGATGTACATTCAAAGTTGTGTCCGCATTTTTTGGTAACAAAAGTGGTTCATCTTTGATATTTAAAGTCATCTTATCCAATTATTTAGAAAAAATTGTGTGCAACT